TGCTTCAAGTTCTCAAGCTCAAGTTGGTATGTGGTTTTCCTCCTTTGCTACCTTTACGTATTGTTTCTCCACTTTATATTCGGCCCAACAGTAGTAACAAAAAAATGTATTATTATCTCTATCACATAGTTTCAGAAACACTGTGTCCAGCACGACACTATAGACTCATGGAACCAACCAAGTCATGTTCCTGAATCTTTAACATCCCATCTTGAGACCTTCGAGTGGAGACAATACAAGGGCACAGAGAAAGAGAGAGAGAGAGAGGCTGCAATGTACATTCTAGCCAACGCGACATTCTACTCAGAGAAGCATGAGATATTGAAGGAGTTGGAATGTGTAGCCAAAGAGGTTCAAAGTTCTTGCACGTTTATATTTGAGTAAACGCTCTTGTTAATAATAACTTGGAATGATTGTCTGTATTTCTTCTTCTTCTTCTATGTTTCTCTGTTTAATTTATCAAACAATTTAAAGATTACTTTATTGATGAATGATCAAATAAATAATAAATTGTCTTCTGTGTAACCTTAAGAGCCTGCACAGGCTAGTTCAGTTTTTGAGGTGGTCCATCTTTTTAAACCTCTCCATCTCCAGAATCATCATCATCAGAATCAAAAGCACTCATGCGTAACAGAGTATCATTTCAGACACATACTTCCCGTTGACTTGGTTCTTAAAGTACTTCCCTAGTAAAACTCTTCAGATGACTGCTTGATAGCCTCAGTCAAACCTTTTACTGTGTGATACATTTAGTATCTTTGCCGTCCATTACAATAGAAAACTAACTTGTCAGAGTGTGAAACATATTGTCACAAAGGTAGAGACTATATATTGTTTTATCTGTCAAAAAGGCTCAGTGTCATATTGCCTTCCTCATTGACAATGGTGCCTGTATAGAGCACAAGACCAATGGGAGGGAACCTGCGGTATAGTTTCAGCTTTTGCAACGCACAAGTTATGGGGCTTAAAACAGATTTTACCAATTGACTCTTCTCTTGATGTTTGATGCGGTTCCTTGTTCATGGATCAACATGTTGGTAATCACGTTGGAGGTTTGATAAGTGAGATCATTTTTTAAGAGATGCTCTTGTCGTCGTCAAAGTGTTTTTAGTTATTTTTTAAGTTAAAGTAAAATTAAAACAGGAGATAGGACACCAGTTCGGACCCAGTAAACATGGTAGAGACTCTGCATGAAAAGTGAGTCCGGTTATATATATGCATATATGCATTTTATATTGAACTGGTAGAGACTCTGCATGAAAAGTGAGTCCGGTTATATATATGCATATATGCATTTTGAACCAAAAAATTCAGAGTTTTAATGGGCTATGCATATGCATTTTAAATTGAATATATATAGTGTAAACTCATTTATGAATATAGTATGAATACGTCAATATATTTATTATCAAATTTTTGTAAGACTATCAAGTGTCCATTATAAATGCATTTTTTCTCATCCCTTATATATTAAAATAGAAGCATTGTAATAAATGCGTTCATACTGTAGTTGACACATGTCGGCTTCACAATTATTTGACAATTAATGCGTTCACAAACTAATTTTTTAAATTCATTATTTAATGTGCTTATATACTATTTTTAATTAATTCATTTTTCTTACATTTTTAGCCTTTGTATTAAGAAATTAAAATTTTCTACGTGAAACTGATGAATAATATCTTTATTGTAAAAAAAAATTACAAAATCATTAAGATTTGCATCAACTAAAATGTTGAGATGAAAATGTTTGTAGAAATTGAAAGTTTCGTACCTTGCCGAAGTTGGTCATGGTTGAAGCTTTTGTACACAATAACAACAAATATAGTGATTGATTAGGAATTAAAGAAACTAAGGTGAAAAACACCACACATAAAGTCGGATCTTTTAGTTTAGTTAAATATTAACATTTTTATAAAGTTTTCATATCAGACCAAGAATTAGAAAAAATCAAATTGGTAGAAGAAAATTAAAAAAATAAAAAAGCTTTAAAAAGAAATAAAAATCACAAAATCGATCAAAAACAGAATTCAGATACCAAGTGAAGATGTCACTTTGTAATATATATTATTTTTATTGTTTACGGGTACAGTTTGGTTTTCTTCATATGAAAAAATGTTATTAATTTCTAAGTTTGTTTATTTTTACTTAATTTTATTTAATAATTTACTATCATGTGTTATTTAAACAAAAATATTTTAAATCTTAATTAACGGTATATTCATATATATATATCATCACATTTATATACTTTTACATATACATACATGTACACATTGACATAAGCGATTATATAATCAAATATTCACCACAAGTGAGAATTTTAATTCTTATTGAAGTTAATTTTTTTGTAATATTTTCTTTCACTATCGCTCAAATTGTAGTGAAATGTTTTGTGTTAATAATTTTATTTTATTTTTCTTCAAATATTATTTAGATTTTATTTGATTTTACATGTCTTTAGAAATTATAATAGGAAACCATTAGTTCGACATCAAAAATGTTTTATATAAAACGAAATCAAACAAATAAGAATAGTTTTTGGTTTTCATCGAAAAAATTAAAAAGATCAAACATTTAAATCAAACAAACCAAAATAAATATACATTTAGAATGATAGTCAATATTCATGCTAAACAAACATAATATCATTTTTATCTTAAAAGTAACAAAAATAATAATTTCATTCTACGCAAAGCGTGGGTAATTACCTAGTTTAATAGAAAAGGGATGTCTTGTCCGGGGACAAAGCTTGTACTTTATAAAGATCAGCTTCATTTCCATCAATCAAACAAGAAAAATTAAAATCAATACGAAGTACAAAGATGGTTTTATAGACGTGAAATAATGCTTCTCTTTGAAGTGAACCTTACGTATACATACGGCTAAGAACAGAGATAAGAAAAATGGGCAGCTCAATTCACGTGATTGTTAAGTTTCGAATATAATAATGTGTTTTTGGTGTATATCATAAACCTCGGATATCGCCAGCCTGCATTTGAAGATCTTCAGCAACTTTTTTAGTGGTCTCGATAGTGAACCGGCGAAAGTACGAAGACACCAATGGCAGATCCCAAGGAGAAGCAGGCCTAAAAGTCAGGTCCACTATAACCTTGGACGCAATCAACCCTTTTCCACCACTACATTTTCTGTATTCTTCTTGACTCTTTGGCTTCATGTGCTTGCACAAGCGTTCTGCATCAACATAGACTGGCTCCACTTCATACTTACCCTCGAACGTTTCCATTATCCTTATTCCTTTTTTCTGTTTCTCGTAATATACCTGCCGAGCATAAGCAGGAGAAACCCTAATTAATTTTTTCAACACTTGAACAATAACAATGATCTCGTGAGATATATAGAGAACCGTTTCTTACAGAAAGTTTTTTTGGGTCTTCGGCAACAATTAAACGTATTGGGATAGTTCCTGACAAGAAGAGGAAGTTCCATGACAACTCTTTCTCAAGCTTCACGGTCGGCGGATTCCCTTCACCTTCATCATTCTCTGATGTAACTTCTCTTGATACGGCTTTCTTCACAAGCAAAAAAAAACTCACTCTCTAAAATATTGCTTTTCTTCTATTATTTTTGTTAATGCTAGCTCTTAAATATATCCATTTGAATTATATAAATGATAAGTTAAAGAAATAAACCAGAAGTGGGCGCCCTTTTATTTTTCTGGAGTATGTTATGTTTTCTTGATTAGTTAAAACGTCGTAAGCTGCTTGAGGTGGCAATCCCAACGTAAATTCCATTGCCATACGGGAAAGGCCATCAAAATGATGGTCTATACGTACCTTCAAATATAGGAAATTATAAATGAAAGCATGGATCTATATACTGAGGCAAATGTTTTGTAATATTGCTTGATCTTACCTTCACCTTAGGAGGAGGTTCATGATATTGTTCCTTCTTATTTGCATCTCTCCATAGTTTTAATTGCTCCTTCGTCTCATCGCTCTCCTCGTGAGTTTTTGCCTCTGTCTTTGGCTTGGATTTAACTTTTTTTTCAGATTTTGTAGGATGTTGTGTGTTCTGACTGACCCAGGCACCAAATCCGGGGAATATACCCATTTTACTCTCTGAAAATTTAACCCCTAAAGAGATAAATGACTAACCGGGGGAAAAGGTTAAGGGGACAAATCATGTATTGTATATACGGTTTCAGGGACCTTAAAAAAAAAAATTTGAACTCAGATTTAGACGGTCGAACACATATATAACTGAAAGAATAGAGAAGGTGAAGTGTACCTTACGTTAACGTACCAGTGACCGAGTAAAAATGAAACATATCAAGGCAGCTAAAGTCTCGTGACTTCTTTCTTGACGTACAAGCGAGAGCTACAAGAATATTGAACACTACCACTAGGTTGCTTGCCAGGAGACGGGCCCAGAATTTATGCAAAGTATGTTCAGACCCTGAGAATCAATGGGCTGATACATTAAACACAAAGTTAACAGAGAGACTTAACAATCTCGAGACAAAACTCTCTGGTGCTAAATTTGTCTACGTATACATGTATAATTCTAGTCTTGATCTCATTAACAATAATCAGGCTTCAGGTAACTGCATTACTCAGTGAAAAAATCATATATGTGCCTTGGATCGTTATAGTTGTTTCCAAGAATAATATGAATTTGCTTTTGGTCTAAAGTATTGTGTTCATCGGGGCCTGTCTCTGAATCTTTACGCAGACACTGTTTTTATCCCTCTTTCTGAAGAGTTTATTTAACATCCCTGTTTGTGGTACATGTGAAAGATTTAAAAGAATTGATTTGACTATTTATATCATCCAAGTAGTTTATCTTTTCGAGATCACATCTAGAGAGAAATCTAGAATTAAACGTGCTGAGCTGAAGTAGTCATTGGTGACCTATCGGGAAGTGATACGTGATATTGTGAGAGTGATGCAAAAGCACGAGAAAAAGTAATGTGGTGATTCCAGTGTCAATAAACATGAAATACCCACCATTAGACGGGATGAGACTCATGGGCTGAGTGAATGGGCGTGAGTGATTTGTTAGCCGTGGGCGAATGGGGCCATCTTGGTTCTGATCTGAGAGGCGTCTTGAGACCTGTCTTGGTACGCAAAGAGAACGTTACGTTCTTTGAGAGAGGTGAATTGTAACATCCCAGTTTGTGGTTTATGTTGGAAAATCTTAAATAATAGATTTGATTACCTATATCATCAAAAGTGTGCTTGCCTTTTCGAATCACATCCAAAAAAATTTCAAAGTTAAACATGTTTGAATTGGAATAGTCATAGAGCTCGGACTCATTGGTTGAATGAACGAACATAGGTAGCCTATTAACCGTGGACGGTCAGAACGTTATAGTTTATTGGTGGATTCATCACTTTCGATTCGGTCACCATTTTTCTTAGAGGAGAAAAGCTTACCATCATACTTCTTTTCCATGAAAGATGTCTCGGCTTGTTACCAAATAAAAATTTCAGCTTAAAAATCAGTTTAATATTTTGTGTACCTGATTTCCGATTTTGGACCCGAATATGCAATTGAGACTTCTTCGGATTTTCTACTAGGTTAAGACCGGATTTCCGATTTGGTTTCACCTCGAGTTAGTCATCTAATCATGAAGACCTATATAGAAGGGGATAATGATTAAGAGAATATTTAGATATACTTGAGGCTTATGATAATGATGTAAATTAGTGATAAGGTTTAATCTTAGCAAAGTCGGTTAAGATGTAAGTATATATACGATTGTGAACAGAGGAATAAAACACACTTTTGACATTACTAAATTCACATGGTATCAGAGCGAAGATCAGAGTAAACGTGATTGTTCAACTAATTATTTGAACTTTTACTTTGGTGATTCGTGATTCGAGATGGGAGATGTCAATGAGGAAGGGAAGATCATTCCAAAGCCTAATGAAATAATGGGGAATTCTCCATACTCGCTGTTTAGCTCAGATAATCCTGGAGCTAAAATAACATCGGTTCAGTTGAAGGGAGATAACTACAATGAATGGGCTATGGAGATGCTTAACGCTTTGCGTGCGAAGAAGAAAGCAGGGTTCGTTGATGGAACTCTACCAAAGCCAACAGAAGATAGTGCTGATTTGGAAGCATGGTTGAGTGTGAACTCAATGATAGTAGGGTGGACAAGAACTTCCATCGAACCCAGAGTCAGATCAACCGTAACGTTCATTACCGAGGCTCACAAGCTTTGGGAAAATTTGAAGAAACGATTTGAAGTGGGGAACAAGGTACGCATACATCAGCTAATGGAGCAATTAGCCTCGTGTAGGCAGAATGGAGAAGCTGTTATAGACTACTACGGTCGTCTGGCAGTGATGTGGGAGGAACTACATACATACAAACCACCTCCAGCTTGTACCTGCTTAGCTGCGGCCGTGTACGAGAAGGAGAGAGAAGATGAAAGAGTTCACCAGTTCATTATGGGACTGGATGAGTCACGCTTTGGTAATGTAGTGACAGCAATTATTGAAGCTGACGAGTTGCCTGATTTGGGAAAAGTGTACGCCAAGGTAATCAGAGAGGAAGCTAGGTTAAACTCGGCGAAAGCAAGGGAAACAGTTCCACAAGAAGCAATAGGTTTTGTTGCTAAACTAGAAGCATCGAATCAAAAAGAGACCAGAGATGGACGTGATGCAAGTAGCTATAGAGGAGACAATGACAGCGTTGGAACTGGATATAGATCAAGGGACAGAGTGTGTCCAAACTGTGGCAAAACAGATCATGATAAGGTAATTGCTGGCAGATTATAGGGTATCCAGAGTGGATGAATGAGAGACGTGGAAGAGGTGCAAGCATGGGTCGAGGTGGTACAAATATGAGAGGTGGTGGTCGTGGAAACACACACACAGCTCATGCTACAAGTTCACAAGGCTCAGCTCAGGTGGAACAGACCTTACTCCAGATCAATGGAGAACTATTACAAGTATCATAAATGGAGGCAAGGCGAGTACTCAGTCAGAGAAACTTTCTGGTAAGACTCTTGGAGATGTGATTATCGATTCAGGGGCTTCACATCATATGACCAACAAGTTATCTTTGTTGGTGAACGTAAGAAATACTCCACCTTGTGTAGTGGGATTTGCAGATGGTGAAACCTCACAATCTACGTGTATGGGAGACATGATACTTACAGACCTCATTACTCTAAAGGATGTTTTGTTCGTACGAAAGATGGACTGCACGTTGATATCTGTATCAAAGTTACTGAGACATAGCAATTGTTTTGCATTATTTACAGACACGATTTGTGTTTTGCAGGACCGTTCTTTGAAGACTCTGATTGGGGCCGGTGAAGAACGTGATGGGGTATACTACTTCAAGGATGTCAAGGTAGCTAGAGTCAACAAGGCAGATGGAAGTAAAGATCGTCTGTTATGGCACAAGAGACTTGGACATCCTGCTTTTGGTGTTTTTGATTCTTTAAAGAGCTTTCTGGTGTTAATAATAAAGCTAGCTTTAGTCCTTGTGACGTGTGTTTTAAAGCTAAGCAAACAAGGGATGTTTTCAGTGATAGCATTAATAAAACAAGCAAGAGTTTTGAGATTATACATACTGATGTTTGGGGTCCATATTGTGTTCCTGCTTCGTGTGGAGCAGTGTATTTTCTCACCATTGTAGACGACTACACTAGAGCTGTCCGGACATATCTTTTATTAGCAAACTCTGAAGTTAAGAAGGTGATGGAACGTTTCTGTGCTTATGCAGAAACACAATTTGGTCATGTGGTACAAACAGTGAGAAGTGATAATGGTATGGAGTTCATGAGCCTACGAAATTACTTTCAAGAAAAGGGAATTATACATCAGACATCATGTGTGTACACTCCACAACAAAATGGGAGAGTAGAGAAAAAACACAGGCACATCCTAAATGCTGCAAGAGCTTTGTTGTTTCAATCAAAGATGCAAACTAAGTTTTGGGGAGAAGCTATTTCAGCGGCAACGCATGTTATCAATTTGACTCCTTCACAAGTTCTGAAAGGATGTTCACCTTATGAAAAATTATTTGGAGCAAAACCTTCGTATGACATGTCGAGAGTGTTCGGTTCTTTGTGTTATGTACACAGAAGGAACCGTGACAAAGACAAATTTAGAGAAAGAAGTAGACGGTGTGTCTTTGTAGGCTATCCATTTGGGAAAAAGGCGTGGAGAGTCTATGACTTAGACAATAATGAGTTTATAGTATCGAGAGATGTTAGTTTCTTTGAGGATGTGTTTCCGTTCATGGAAGTAGAGAGTGAAACTGGACGAGAGAAGCAGTTGACTGGAGCACCTGATGATGATTGGGTATTAGACATGGTCACGGATGACAGGGGGAGTGAATCTGTAGTGATTGAGAATTCAAGATACTCTGGAGCAATAGCATGTACTCAAGGAGAAGTACACGAGAAGAACCAAACAGGGGACTCTGTTTGCTGTGTTCCTACGGTGGTGAATCAAGATGACAATGAGAAACAGGCTGATGTTGAGGAGGATGTTGGGGAAGAAGAAACTAAAGAGTTGGGACGAGGATGTAGAGAAAAGTTTCCGTCTGTGAAGCTGCGCGACTATGTGAGCTACAATGCTCAATGTGTGAAGAAACCCCATCATGATCTCACTCCAATGGCTCCTACGCCAGAGTCTTTGTTGACTGTCTCAGGTAACACGCCATACCCTCTTGCAAATTATATATCTGATGCACGTTTTTCACCAGACCACAAAGCCTTCTTGGCTGCTATAACAAGTATGCAAGAACCACGAAGCTATAAAGAAGCTATGGAGCACGAGATTTGGTGAAATTCAATGAAAAAGGAGATGGATGCTTTTGAAGAAAATGGAACTTTCAGCATAGTGGATTTGCCACCAGGGAAGAAAGCCATCAGCAATATGTGGGTGTATAAGTATAAATACAATGCAGATGGATCAATGGAGAGACTGAAATCTCGGTTAGTAGCGTTGGGAAATAAACAAGTGAAGGGAAGGGATTTTAAGGAGACATTTGCACTTGTTGCTAAGATGACAACAATGAGAAGTTTGCTACGAGTAGTTGCAGGAAAAGGATGGGTGATACATCAGATGGATGTCCACAAC